GTTTCTTTATATATTATGGAAAACACGTCAACTTTGTCCAAAACACCTTCTTTTCGAAAATCCACCTCTAAGAAAGTAGCTTATTTATATGAAATAGAGTACAGGAGTGATGAGAGTAAAGTTCCTATTACCCAACTTCCTTTGCTTAATCCTTACAAAGCCTTCTCAAAGCCGAATTCTACTTTCCCTAAAGTTATCAGTCAAGTGTTTGTGCCTAACAAACATATTACAAAAGAACTCGTTCTAGCCTCTCCTCTAGAAAAGTTTCTGGTCCCTGCAACAGAAGCAGAGCAAATGGTTCCTCTCTGTCTTAACGAAGGAATGATACATCATTGGCGAAGTCTTGGCTATATACATCTTCAATATGGAGCAATACGCCTAGCATTAACTCTTAATAGAACAAAAGGCTTACCGGTAGCGGCAAGGGTCGCTCTCCTTGACATCAGATACAAAGAGTATTGGTCCAATATGTTTGCATTGCAACCATCCATACAACATTAAATGCTGACACATCTTTGTGACTCTTTTCCCAAACTTTAACGTGGCACTAAAAGACCCACAAATCTGTCGAAACATGCAGATCCAACTTTAGATTACCGGCGCTCCAAAAATCGGAAACACATATGCAGCAACATTGCATCATCAAATGTCATATAGAATCCAGAATCATGCTATGGATTTAAGTCTCCCTAGAGACACTAAAGATGCTTTACTCATTTAACTTGAGTCACAACATAGCTCGTCATGCATCCACATTCCAAGGAAAATCCCAAGAAGCGAATTAGTGACTCTACTTCCAGAATCATGGGTAAACAATTACGAAAAAAACTCCATGAAAGAATTACACTAATACAATCAGTGGACTCCTCTATCCATAGACGAAAAGATGGAGCTTTAGAGATCGCGTTCAAAGCACAAGAAGAAAAATCAAGACCGACGGCTTTTTGCATTGAGATTAACATGATCACTCCTGCATGTGAAAAACAGTTCATGGAGATAGATTCATGTCTGCCAGGCGTTCCAATCTCATCTTTTGACTCACTTGGAAATCCAGTCTACGCATTCCTGGATGACTCTGGTCTCAAATTCTTTGATATTTGTGACTGTCAAAAATGTCCGGAAGATGATTCTGATGAAGAAGAAGTCCCGAGGCGGAGAAGAGGAAGAAAATATCCGGAAGATGATTCTTGGAGAGCCAACTAGTGGAAAATTTGATTACTATGTTTTGTATTTGAATAGCTCGATCCCAGCAACCCTGGACAGGGAAGAACTACCACTGAGTTACATGTTTGGCCCTCCATCCTAGTCACCATTTCCATCAAAGGAGTTTGAAGAAGACAGTGTCAAACACTCGTGGAAAATCAAGAATCCCCACATTAAGAACCCTGATGGAATAGTGAAGCAAGTGAATGCGGCCGAAGTAACTTTGAACTGGCAATCAGTAAATGCTGCAACTCAAAACAATTTCTTGAGCCAGATGGAGAAAAAGGTAACCATTTTGGAACTTTCTATAAAGGAAATAACTAAAAAGATGTCCTCCATCCATCAAGAACTCCTCCAATTGGCTACTACTGTCTCCATAAACTCTCCCCTTATGGCCCAAATGCCTTAAACCCTTAAAGCCCAACAAAACTCTTTACAAAATCAACCACAAACACAAGCCCAAATGCCTTATGAACTTTTACACCGTACCCTATATATACACCATCTTACGCAGCCCAATCACAACCCCTTTCTTTTTCTCAAGACCCAAGTGTATTTGGATCGCCATCTTTCTAAAATGCTTGAAACCATTCCGGCGGTGCCGTGCCTCATGTGTATTGACAAAAACATTTGCCCAAAACCTCAAAATAGGAAAAAATTGTAAGGCCACATATTATTTTAGTTAATTAGGTTATCTATTTTGTTTGAAAATGTGTTTACATTTCCTATTTTAAAAATCCATGATATTTTGTATATTATTAATTCTTCTTATTTCATATTTTTAAATGAAAAACACATGAAAGTTAAGAACTTGTATTAAATCTTTGAAAGTAAAATGAAAAACACATAATGTATTAAATGTTTGAAAGTAAAATGAAAAACACATGAAAGTTGAGAACTTGTATTAAATCTTTATATGAAAGGATATTTTTAATGAACTAATTAAAAAAATACTAATGTGACAATAAAAAATAAATGGTATGATATATATCTGAGAGTCTATTTTTATGTGTTATAAAAACGCATACGTAAAAATATTTTACTTATGTTTTGTTCATATTTTACATATGTTTTGCTTATTTTATGATAATATCTATTTAACATTTCAACAAACCAAAAAATGACTAATTTGATGTCATATATGAAAAATCACACTACAATTTATATTTATATAGATTTTAATGTATACTCAATGTATCAAATAATCAAATAATTAATATATACAGATGATTTTATCATAGTCACAAAATAATATAAATATATAAACAAATAAAAATACATACTATCTACGTATTGCATGGGCAACCATCTAATAAAGAGGAAGACAATAATCAAAGGGAATAAAAAAATATGAGAAACAGCTCATAGTCACCTGAAATATCCGAAAGTTTTATGTATGAGAAGTTATTTAGCTGCCCTATAGGGAGAGGTATCTAATGTATGTATATTTATCCGCGTAATATTGAGATCCTCCAAAACAAGCTTGTTAATTCCAACGTCAACACCCCGATAATTATCAACCAGGATAATAACTAATGCACGTTTGGGTCTCCAAACTAGATTACGTAAATCATTAATTTTGTCTGTAGCACCTTCTGTCTTGAGTGCCTATATATACACCAAGTAAAATCTTTTCATATAGCACACTGCAATAGAATCAGCAACAAAATTACGATAAACATTCTCGGTTCATGGGTAAACATGAAAGATGCCATTCAAGGCGGGATAGCTTCAAGTGTACAATGTGTTCGCGGTAAGAAGAAGGGACCAAATTGAAACCCTCTTCACATAGTTTCTTTAAACCATGTGTCTCTCCATTGTGTGTCCGTTAAAGAATCAATGAGGTTTTACAAGAACGTTTAAGGATGTATCCCCATTCGAAGATCGAAATCATTAACTTTTGAAGGCGCTTGGTACAGTCTCTTTTTATTATCATTATTATATAAATGTCTGATTTTTTCAAGTTTACTGAGCGACTGGATGTGACCCGATTACAGAAAGTTATAAATGAGTTTCTAGGTTCAGGTTGTCAGGTTTCAGAATCGGAATACACCTATTTTATTCCCAAGAACCTGATAAAGTGCTCACGAAAACTATGATTGATTCAAAGGATCACCATATCTCGTTCCAGGTAATTAATTGTTAAAGTTTTGTGAGGTAGCAATGGAAAAATATTTCATGTTCCCAATATTGATAACAAACCATCCTTGTATAAGTGCAGTGTAGCAATATGGTACTAATGGAGAAGAACCTTGAGAAAATGGATATCTCCTTTCTGAAGACAATTATTAAATACGGCGGGATCCAAGTGGAGCAGGTCTTCTTTCATGACCCGAACGGGTTCATGATCGAGATCTGCAGCTGCGGGAACCTACCTGCCGTCCCAATGATTGAATGATTTAATCTGGTGTGTTACGTTAAGTGTGGGAGTTTATGAAATAGTTTGTGTAACAGGACTAAGCTTTATAAGCCTACTATTCGGTTTAATCACTTGGTTTAGTTATTTATGCCTTTATTTCGGTTATGGTACAATTTATGTTGGTTAAGTAGTTGGTACAATCACTGTACTGTACTTGTAAGGCGATTTTGCCATTTAGGGAAATCAACAAATAAACAATAATCTTCTTCGTTATCTATTTCTCTCTATCGTGTTCATAATTTATTATCACCATCTAAATCCAACCTCTTTGAGAAATCTCTTCTTCCTTTGTAGTCATCTTCTAGAATGGATTTACCTTTACCTTGTGTTGGATGGGATTTATCGATTAACTGACATTACGGTCTCATTGGTATATGAGGTCTTCGATTCTCAGGACCATAGTCATGTGGACAAGGCAACAATCTATGATCAATTTGAACAAACATATGGAGAAGATGTGTCTCCTATACGAGAAGCAGAACTATGAGCGGAAGCAACAATCCGATGAGCTGGATGGAATGGTCGATGTAATACCCCTGATGGTGACCTAGTATACGGACGGACGGTCGCGGCCGAGACATAGAAAATTTTTTGGAAAGAAATATTTAATGGAGCCATCGATAAACCAAGTCTTATTTGAAAAACTTATCGAAGAAAAATGGTTGAATTGATTTTATATCAAACCATTAGTGAGTTAAGCTGTTATCGGCTATAGTCAAGTGTCGACAAAACAAGAGCGGCTATTAGTGGCAATGGGCAGTAAGGCTATGGAGAGAATTGGTGTTAGTTTGATCTAAGGACAAGGTCAAACAATTAATAAGAGGATTATTTATGGGCAATTTGGTCAAGGGAAAGATCAATTTTGTCGAGGAGAAAACTAGTTTATTGAGAAGGAGTAGTTTTAGGCCGAGACAACAAGCGGTGATCGAATGGGATCGAATACGAAGACAACAAGGTTTATAGAGTGGTTAGATGACTTAGTCATTTATTTGGGGGATTCAAAAGGTTTGTCAAGTTAGTACAGGTAAAGATCATTCTCAGCGTATAGTAGTACAGGTAAAGATCATTCTCAACGTATAGTGGTCATTCAGTACGAACGTATACCGCGAGCGAACAGAATGAATGGTCGATGGACCAAGTGAGGTGCTTGGAAGCTGCTGTGTTGTGAAGATGCTTACGCTTACCACATTGTGCCACACGACCGTATGAGAAAGGCGTTGGTTATGCGTAAGTATGCGCAAGCTTAAGTGTGGATAGGATAAAGATAAGATTTTGGATAGATCTTATCCCACATAAAGATAAGATTTTGGATAGATCTTATCCAAGCTTCCTTTCCCCTATATAAAGCCACGAAATCCATTCATTAGTTCTCCACACAAAAACAAAAAATCACACCTTAGTTAGTTAGTTAGTTTCGAGAAGCTGGTCGGATAGAAGTTGGTCGAGTCGAGAGTCATGGTCGGGTATCCGGTAAGTAAGGTCTGCCTTTAGTCTTTTATTCTTTCTAGAATATTTTTCTAAGTTCTTGGTTCGATCCAAAGCTTAGATCCATCGTTGGAGAAAGCTAGTCAGATCGAGATCAATAGGCGGTCAAGGGTAGAATGTCGTTCTCTCGACAATAAGGCAAAGGTGAGTACCGAAGCATGTGTAGTAGCACATGTCTAGGTTTTATTTGATGTATTAGTTTATGATTGAGGTTTCATGTTTATACATAGTGTAAATTATGCATAAAAGTTAGATCTACGTTTCGACGTAAGATCGACTCGATTGTTTGTTCTAGATCTTCCTTTCTTCTTGATTTATTTTGGTTGATCTATTGATTGAGGTTGTGATAGTCATTATTATAGCCGTTATACTGTTCGTATAATTGTTATGCTATCGACAAAATCCTTAAACTATTGTATAGCCGTTGTGTTGTTCGTATAACTGTTAAGCTGCCGATCTAGCCGTTAGGCTGCAGGCATAGTCTTTATATTGCCGTGAAGTTGCTTATGCAATTTTATGAGGTCAGGCTAAATGTTGGTATAGCCGATATACTGCTTGTTTATTCAATGATCAATAATTGGTAATTATTGGCATGATAAGCATGCGTTATTTATTGTGTGTTGGTTATTCTATTGATTATTACTATGCATTGTTGTTTGATTGTTTGATTGATTTTTGTTAGTTAATCTTGCTGTCGTTTGATTGACTTGTATGTTAGTAGTATTATTGCGAGTAGTAACAATTACACTAGGCTCGTATGAAGTAGTGGTGTTAGTCATTCCTATGACTAATGTATAGCGAGTTCATGATTTCCCAATGGTTCGGACTGGCTCGCTACCACCGGGCACTACTTGACGAAGTAGTAAATTTGCCGTAAGGGAAATAGTCCCTTTATTCACGGTTTAGGGAAGGGATGTGATCCTTCTAGCCTTCGTGGCTAAGAGTCAGAGACATTGCCTTGGGGAAAATCATTGCCGCATTGGTAGTAAAGTCCTTAAGGTTTGGTAGTTATTTATGTGATGGCTTTTATGCCATATTGATTGTGTTATTTAGCTTCCGTTGTGAATACTCTATACTGAGTACGATTGCTTGTTTAAACTATGATTGTGTGCTTTGTGTGTTGATTGTTGTTGGGTATTGGGATGGTTGATTGTTAGAAAACCCGGACTCACTGAGTAATCTTAGATTACTTATGATTCTACCTTTTGTCTTACAGGAAACCTTAGTTGGGAGACTTATGGGGAAAGCGCGGATGCTAGAAACCGGTGTAGAGTTTGTTGCCTTTGTAAAAATAGATTTGATGTTATTGACTCGATTTGGGCCTTATGCTCTGGGATCCCAATCCAATGTAAATGTTTTCAACGTTTTATCAATAAAAGTGGTATTTTCTAAAATGCCTTATGTTCTACTCGATATTAGTCTTGTCCGGACTAACACGACTCGCGGACATGGTACGGGTTGAAAAGCCTTAGGCCTTGTTCAAGAGGAACGATACCCGCGGTTTGACTGACTAAGGTACTGAATTCGTTTTAGTAACCTCGGTCGGATCGTCTACGGGCATCGCACGTGACACTCTTGTTTCGTCTTTAGTTCTAGGGTGGTTCGGGGTGTTACAAGAGTGGTATCAGAGCATGGTTAATTTATGCTCATGGGACACAAGTTTTCAAAATGTTTTATCGAGTCAAAATGAGTCGCAAGGGCAACTTTAGGAAATCGGTGCGTCTATGTGCTATAGGTAAATGGGATAGGATAGGATGGGTTAGGTTTTACCCTTTGGATGTTGGTGCAGATATCGATTGGAGGGATGACAGAAGGACGGTTGTGGAGGGCTAAGAGTTTGTGGTGGAGAACTCATATGATGAAGTAGTTATTGCAAAACAAGATGAAAGTACGAGAAGTCTGCTTATGTCGAGAAAGACAATATATAAGTAGTTCGGAAATGGAGTGAGGAAGTAAGACAAGAGTAGTTCTTTTCGAGTAATCTATAGAGAAGGACGAAGAGACGCATGCGTAGAATGGTGTGAGGCGTCTCCATGGTGTTGAAGGAAGAACGTTCAAGTAGTTGTGTATGCTTGAACAACCGCCAAGGAACAAAATTTACGATGGAAGTTGATGGAGACCTTGATCCACAAGGTGTTGTTAAGAAGTGATCCAACAAATATCAAGAGGAAGATGAGTTCTCACCCAAATCAGTCTATGTAGTCGTTTTTCTAACCACTCCGACATGTCTAGTAATCTAGAGGAGAAAGAAGTGAAGACACAAGTAGCTGTGTTTAAACCTTAGGAATAGATTACCCTAACCTCTATGACCTTAAAAGGTCTCGCCAAAGGTACGTATGGGTTTTAACTTGTGTGTGGTTGTTGCTTGCATTTATTTTTATAATGCTAGTAACGATTTGTTAGAAGGTTGCTTGCTTTAATTTTTCTTTCAGAGGTTATCGCTTGCATTGGTTGTGCAGGGTAGTGCTTGCATTATTTAGGTTTAATATTGCATGCATTGTCTGTCTTAAGTGCGACTAGGCATGTGGAATGGTAAACCCATATTTGTATTGTCACTTAAGAGTTTTGTTTATATGAGTCGGTAGAGAATTAGGGGTGGTGTTTTAAGAGTCCTAGGAGTCTTTTAAGAGTTGGAATTTAATAGTTTAGGAAACCCTAGAATTTTTAGGTGGAACCCTTTTGTCTGGTTGTTCTTGTGGTGCTTTATGGGTATGTGGAGGCAAAAGCAGAGGTTGGAATGTAAGGCGAAGTGAGATATTATGTGATAGGGAATCACATATGTGAGACTGAAGTTTGAGAATAAAGTTGAAGTTATGTCCTATAAGATCCGAACTAAGATCAGTAAGCTTGTCAAGGCATCATGTGATAAGGAAATCACATTTCAGAAGAGGGAGAAGATATCAATCGCGAGAAAGGAAGAGCCACTGTCAAACCTATTTGTGGGAGCAGCCCACGTATGGATGTGTTGCCTATAGCAATGAAGGAAGGAACCTTCACTGAAAAGTTGATAGTAGTATGAAGAATTGAGAGGAAGAAGCGAGAGCAGAATGTTCTACAAGGATGAGTTTCAAGGTAAAGACAGTTAGCAAGGACGAAGGAGGAGTAGTCATTCTACCCACAAAAGGAGAAAACTTAGTAGAAGAGTTTAAGATTCAAAAGAAGTAAATTATGAGGATCTATCAAGTGCGGATGAGAAATTTTGAAGGGTCATGACGACGAAATGAAGCAGTTATCAAGCAATGAATTGGTTCGAGACCACTCATGCTTGATAGAAGATCGGTTCCATATATGGAGCAATGGCGGCACCAAGCAAAGAGCAGAGAAGATGGAGTTATTGAAGTATCCAAGAAGAATTTATATTAACTCAAGGACAAAGTTAATATCATCAAAGAAGGGTAGTCGAGATTTCAGAGATGAGAAGGAGATTTGTGTGGAGCTCAAGTAGCCGAAAAGTATCTATATTAACTCAAAGGATGGAGTTAATATTACCAAGGAAGATAAGTGGGAAGTTAATTGGAGGGGCGTGAAGGACACTAGCTCGAGATAAAGTCTTAGTGTTGAAGAAGTGAGATCAAGTCTTAGAGTTGAAGAAGTAAGAAATGACCTTTGTCATTTCCGAAGGTCAAGATAAGATGAAGAATAAATGTTCAATATGAAACCTATTGACGACGAAGAGAAGAGAAAAGAGAAGAATTATCCATTGGAAGGGGTAATTAGAAGAAGCTAATGAGATATTGGAGTCAAGTATAGTGAAGAAACAATAAGAGAAGTAAAAGAAGAGGAGAGCAAGATCAACCCCATAAAATGGAAATTGTGAGGTTGAGAGGACTTTAGCTAATGGCGACTGTAGCTAGAGCAAAGAGAAGGAAGAAGATTGGTGGAAGTTGTAATACGAAAGACGTACTTTACGCATAGTAAAGTTAAGTCGAAGGGAGGAGATATATTCACAAGTCGCAAGAGGAGGCGTATGGCTAAGAAGATAAGAATCAGAAGTTATAAATAAGTTAAGGAAGAGAGAGGTTACACATGGAATGTGTAATAAGCCTAGGCAATAATTGAAGAATCAAAGAGGAGTGGAAGATGTGAACCAAAGGGAATGGTCACACCATATTTTAGGAGAAGATGAAAACGCGTATTAACCAGTACAACAAGCAAAGGGGAGGAGAGTTGTACATTGAAAAAAAAAAAGGTCAATGTGAAGAAGTTGAATCCTAAAGCAACGATGAACAAGGAGATGGAGATATTGAACTAAGAGTCAAGAAAAGAAGAAGAAATGATTGAGGAGTCCGAAGAGGTTGCAATAAAATATTGGAGTAAGTAAGATGGAGTGTAGTACTATGCTACTTAAGGAGGAAGTGTAGTACCTACCACCCTATCGAATGATGGAGAAGGGATTTTTGAAGACCAAATCAGAGTCGTAAAGGAAGTGACTCTAATACAAGAAAGAATTACGAAAGCTACCTGAGCAGTATCTTACAAGAGAAGAGTATTCAGAGTGGTATCAAGATCGAGAAGAGTAAAGAGTCAAGTTAGAAAGGGCAAAGATCATTCTCAGCGTATAATGGTCGAAAGAGTTTTCAGTACGAACGTATACCGCGAGCGAACAGAATGAATGGTCCATGGACCAAGTGAGGTGCTTGGAAGCTGCTGTGTCGTGAAGGTGTTTACGCTTACCACATTGTGCCACACGACCGAATGAGAAAGGCGTTGGTTATGAGTAAGTATGCGCAAGCTTAAGTGTGGATAGGATAAAGATAAAATTTTGGATAGATCTTATCCCACACCTTGTGCTTGCGGTGCTTGGGCGCCAAGCTTCCTTTCCCCTATATAAAGCCACGAAATCCATTCATTAGTTCTCCACACAAAAACAAAAAAATCCCACCTTAGTTAGTTAGTTAGTTTCGAGAAGCTGGTCGGATAGAAGTTGGTCGAGTCGAAAGTCATGGTCGGGTATCCGGTAAGTAAGCTCTGCCTTTAGTCTTTTATTCTTTCTAGAATATTTTTCTAAGTTCTTGGTTCGGTCTGAAGCTTAGATCCATCGTTGGAGAAAGCTAGTCGGATCGAGATCAATAGGCGGTCAAGGGTAGAATGTCGTTCTCTCGACAATAAGGCCAAGGTGAGTACCGAAGCATGTGTAGTTGTACATGTCTAGATTTTATTTGATGTATTAGTTTATGATTGAGGTTTCATGTTTATACATAGTGTAAATTATGCATAAAAGGTAGATCTACGTTTCGACGTAAGATCGACTCGATTATTTGTTCTAGATCTTCCTTTCTTCTTGATTTATTTTGGTTGATCTATTGATTGAGGTTGTGATAGTCGTTATTATAGCCGTTATACTGTTCGTATAATTGTTATGCTATCGAAAAAATCCTTAAACTCTTGTATAGCCGTTATGTTGTTCGTATAACTGTTATGCTGCCGATCTAGCCGTTAGGCTGCAGGCATAGTCTTCATATTGTCGTGAAGTTGCTTATGCAATTTTATGAGGTTAGGCTAAACGTTGGTATAGCCGATGTACTGCTTGTTTGTTCAATGATCAATAATTGGTAATTATTGGCATGATAAGCATGCGTTATTTATTGTGTGTTGGTTATTGTATTGATTATTACTATGCATTGTTCTTTGATTGTTTGATTGTTTGATTGATTTTTGTTAGTTAATCTTGCTGTCGCTTGATTGACTTGTATGTTAGTAGTATTATTGCGAGTAGTAAAAACTACGTTAGGCTCGTATGAAGTGGTGGTGTTAGTCATTCCTATGACTAATGTATAGCGAGTTCATGATTTCCTAATGGTTCGGACTGGCTCGCTACCACCGGGCACTACTTGACGAAGTAGTAAATTTGGCCATAAGGGAAATAGTCCCTTTATTCACGGTTTAGGGAAGGGATGTGATCCTTCTAGCCTTCGTGGCTAAGAGTCAGAGACATTGCCTTGGGGAAAATGATAGCCGCATTAGTAGTAAAGGCCTTAAGGTTTAGTAGTTATTTATGTGATGGCTTTTATGCCATATTGATTGTGTTATTTAGCTTCCGTTGTGAATACTCTGTACTGAGTACGATTGCTTGTTTAAACAATGATTGTGTGCTTTGTGTGTTGATTGTTGTTGGGTATTGGGATGGTTGATTGTTAGAAAACCCGGACTCACTGAGTAATCTTAGATTACTTATGATTCTACCTTTTGTCCTACAGGTAACCTTAGTTGGGAGACTTATGGGGAAAGCACGGATGCTAGAAGCCGGTGTAGAGTTTGTTGCCTTTGTAAAAATAGATTTGATGTTATTGATTCAAATTGGGCCTTATGCTCTGGGATCCCAATCCAATGTAAACGTT